TTCCTTCCTTCCTTCCTTCCTTCCTTCCTTCCTTCCTTCCTTCCAAGACAGAGGCTTACTCTGATGACCAGGCTGCAGTGCAATTGTGCAATCACAGCTCACTTCAACCTTGACCTCCTGGGCTCAAGTGATCCCCCCACCTCAGCCTCCCAAGTAGCTGGGACTACAGGCATGGCCATACCTGGCTAATTTTTGTAGGTTTTATAAAGGCTAGGTTTCACCTTGTTGCCCAGGTTGGTCTTGAACTCCTGGCCTGAAGCTATCCACCTGCCTTGGCCTCCCAAAGTGCTGGGATTATAGGTGTGAGCCTCTGGGCCTGGCTGTGATCGCTCTACTTTTGCTTATTTGTTTAGTGCAACCGCAGCTTACATTGGTCTCCCCACCTCTAGCTGGTTTTTCTCTCATCATTTTCATCATTACTGGCAGGTTGATTAAACCGCACTTTCTCAAATGTCTTAAAAACACTTAAGGTTTTTGAGATAGGGAGAAAGTATAACAAGTTTCTTAACTTCAACATAAAATTCTAGTTTCTTAGCAGGACCTAAGAGTGTGTTGCGATTGCCATCAGCCTCCTCTCTGCCCCTTTGGTCCTGCTCGTGCCTCCTTTCCCATTTGTGGCTGTGGGCTCCAATCACAGGGAACTATTTGCTGTTGGAATGGGGTCCTAGCTAATCCTCTGTGGCTCTTTGCCTGAGCTCCTCCCTTTCTCCTCTGCAATTCCTATAATCCCAGGACTCTAAGAGGCTGAAGTGGGCAGACCACTTGAGCCCAGGAGTTCAAGACCAGCCAGGGCAACATGAGGAAACCCTGCCTCAACAAAAAAGACCAAAAATTAGCCGGGATTGGTGGTGTGTGCCTTGGGAAGCTGAGGTGGAAAGATTGCTTGAGCCTGGGTAGGGGGTCGAGGCTGCAGTCACCCTGGTGACTCCCACTCACCCCTCTTGACTAATTCCTCTTGTCTTTCAAAATCTGGCTAAGGTGTCTAGATCCTGGTGCCCTTCTCGCCTTCTCATTCCCTTTCCCTTCTCCTCCTCCCCACCTCCCACATGCCTAGCTCCTTCATAAAAACAATCAGATCCTGTTTTAATTGTCTGACTACTCTTGTGTTTTTCCATTTCCCTGTCTTAATAAGTTTGAAGGCTCACGCCTGTAATCCCAGTACTTTGGGAGGCTGAGATGGGTGGATCACCTGAGGTCAGGAGTTCAAGACCAGCCTGGCCAACATAGTGAAACCCCATCTCAACAAATAGTACAAAAAAATTAGCCAGGTGTGGTGGCGGGTGTATGTAATTCCAGCTACTCAGGAGGCTGAGGCAGGAGAATTGCTTGAACCCGGGAAGTGGGGTTGCAGTGAGCCGAGATTGTGCCATTGCACTCCAGCCTGGGTGACAAGAGTGAAACTCTGTCCCCCCACCCCCCAAAAAAGAATTTTGAGGGCAGAGCCTGAGTTATTTAGTCATCTTTGTAACCCTGGAGACTAAAACATGTAATAGGTGCTTAGTAAATGTTTGCTGAATAAACTGCAGTGTTTCTCCCAGGCCTCAGTGCACTTAGTCGTTTTTCAGTAACTGTGTTGTCTGCCATACAGGGCAAATAAAATTGAGACTTTTGGCTTTGCACCATGGCTCATACCTGTAATCCCAGGACTCTGAGACACTGAGGTGGGCAGATCACTTGAGCCCAGGAGTTCAAGACCAGCCTGGGCAACATGATGAATGAAACCTTGTCTCTATAAAAAAGACCAAAAATTAGCCAGGATTGGTGGCGTGTGTCCTGGGAGGCTGATTGGGAAGATGGCTTGAGCCCGCTTAGGGGGTCAAGGCTGCAGTGAGCTGTGTTCGCACCACTGCACTCCAGCCTGGGCAACAGAGTCAGACCTTGTCTCAAAAATAAATAAATACATAAATAAATAAATAAAATTGAGACTTTTACAGATTTGACTTTTTTTTTTTTGGGGGGGATGGAGTTTCGCTCTTGTTACCCAGGCTGGAGTGCAATGGCGCGATCTCGGCTCACCGCAACCTCTGCCTCCTGGGTTCAGGCAATTCTTCTGCCTCAGCCTCCTGAGTAGCTGGGATTACAGGCACGCGCCACCATGCCCAGCTAATTTTTTGTATTTTTAGTAGAGACGGGGTTTCACCATGTTGACCAGGATGGTCTCGATCTCTTGACCTCGTGATCCACCCACCTCGGCCTCCCAAAGTGCTGGGATTACAGGCGTGAGCCACCGCGCCTGGCCCAGATTTGACTTTTAAGGATGTACTGTACACATCCATACATAAGAATTGGTTTCAATGGAGTGTTTTGAATTGTAAAGCATCATCCTATTTTAATCAGTTAGTTTTTTTTTTTTGAGATGGAGTCTCACTCTGTCACCCAGACTGGAGTGCAGTGGCGCAATCTCAGCTCACTACAACCTCTGCCTCCCAGGTTTAAGCAGTTCTGCTGTCTCAGCCTCCTGAGTAGCTGGGACTACAGGCGCATGCCACCACGCCCAGGTAATTTTTGTATTTTTAGTAGAGATGGGGTTTCACCATATTGATCAGGCTGGTCTCAAACTCCCGACCTCAGGTGATCCGCCCACCTTGGCCTTCCAAAGTGCTGGTATTACAGGTGTGAGCCACCGCACCTGGCTTAATCTGTTAGTTTTTGCTGGTAACAATTCCCCCCACCCCTAAAATTTTGTGGCTTAAAACAACCAAATATTTAGCTTATGATTTTGTGGTCAGATGATTCTAGTCTGGGCAGCTGATGTCTTCTGGGCTTGTCCCCATGTTTGGAGCCAGCCAGTGGGTTAGATGGTGGCCAGATGAGCCAGGAGGGCTTCCCTTATGTGTGGCCATTGGCTGAGAGCCTTGGTGTGCCTCCATGTTTCCACTCCTCTAGCAGGCTAGCACGGGCTCATTCACCTGTTGGTCTTAGGGATACAAATGCAAGCAAGAGAGTAAACCCAGAGCACAGGTAAATTAAAGTCACTGCTTGCGTCACATTTGCTTCACAAGTCACATGGCCAACCAAGTGCAGGGGCAGGGAAATAGACTTGACTTTCTGATGGGAAGAACTGCAACACTGCATTGCATGGATGTGGAAGGGAGAATTTGTGGTGGTTTTTGTAAACCACCCCACCTGGTTATTGAATGTATTGATTCCACAGTATATGACAGATATAGGCACCTAACAAAAATTTGAATTATTGGATAAATTATTGGCCATATATACACATGTATGTATGTACCATACTTATTTTGCAAATAGGCTTAAAGCCTGCCTAGGAAAAGCTGAGCCTTTTTTTCAAACCCATCTTATTTTTGGATCCTCATATTAGTGGTACATTGAGCTTAAATATTGCAGAACTGGTACCAAAACGTTAATGTCAATACCTCAGATATTAATATTGAACTTAATGTATAGTTGAATTAAATAAAGATGGTGACCCAAACTGAGTATTATTAGATTCGTGCATAGTAGAGACAAAGAGCTACAAAGAGGTTTGGTTTGCATGTTAAAAAGTACCTGGCCAGGTGTGGTGACTCACCCCTGTAGTCCCAGCACTTTGGGAGGCCGAGGCAGGCAGATCTCTTGAGGTCAGGAGTTCGACACCAGCCTGGCCAACCTGGTGAAACCCCGTCTCTACTAAAAATACAAAATATTAGCTGGGCGTAGTGGCGCATGCCTGTAATACTAGCTACTTGGGAGACTGAGGCAGGAGAATTGCTTGAACCTGGGAGGCGGAGGTTGCAGTGAGCTGAGATCGCACCACTGCACTCCAGCCTGGTGACAAAGCGAGACTCCATCTCAAAAAAAAAAAAAAAAATGCAACCTATGCATGAAACCACTTCACATCTTTATGCTTCATTGTCATTTCCAATTAGATTATCTACCCACTAGAATTATTTCATTTTTCCAAAGTGGTTGAATTAGTTGTATTACAATTCCAGCTGCATACAGGATTATTTTACAGGTAAGCAAGCCATATCTGGGTTACCAACAGTGGCAGAAATAAGGTGAATGGTGTTTACCATTCCTGCACATGCAGACTAACAGTCATGGGACATAACGTACGTACCAGGCATTGTAATACAGAGAAAAATCAGACAAAGCCCTCTGCCTCCAGGAGCTCATACTCTTTGTGAGGGAGAGAGATACATACATAAGATACAACAAGCCTAGATTTTTTTTTTTTTAAGCAGGATCTCACTCTGTCACCCACGCTGGAGTATAGTGGTGCAATCATGGCTCACAGTAGCCTCAACCTCCTGGGATCAAGTGATTCTCCTACCTCTGCCTCCTGAGTAGCTGGAACCATAGGCGTGCCACCATGCCTGGCTAATTTAAAAATTTTTTGTAGAGATAGAGCCTCCCTACATGGGCCAGGCTGGTCTCAAACTCCTGGGCTCCAGTGATCCTTCTACCCAGCCTCCCAAAGTGCTGGGATTACAGGCATGACCCCTATGCCTGGCCCAGATTTTTTACATTGGTTTTTAAATTAGTAATGGCATAGCAAGTAACTCTGGAACTTTTATTAAGGACATCTGCCCAGGTATTACCCCTGGAGATGCTCATTCATTAGGTCTGGGGTGGGGACAGGTAGTTGTATTTTGAAAAGGCACAAGTGATATTGAGAGGTATTTCTACTTAAGAACCATTGCTTTGGGCTGCGTATGGTGGTTCACGCCTGTAATCCCAGCACTTTGGGAGGCTGAGGCGGGTGGATCAGGAGGTCAGGAGATCAAGACCACCCTGGCTAACATGGTGAAACGCTGTCTCTACTAAAAATACAAAAAATTAGCTGGTCGTGGTGACATGCGCCTGTAGTCCCAGCTACTTGGGAGGCTGAGACAGGAGAATTGCTTGAACCTGGAAGGAGCGAGCTAAGATCATGCCACTGTACTCCAGCCTGGGCGACAGAGCGAGACTATGTCTCACCAAAAACCAACAAACGAACAAAAACTACACTAACATTTCTTTATAAAATGTTAGTGCATGGTTTAATTATTTTGATGTGTTTTAATTAAGTTTGGGGATAAAAGTTGCTTCATGTTTTACTTCTTAGGTCATGGTCATCATTGATTAGATTTCATTATTACAGCAGTAATGTCTACTATAGAAAATATGAAGAATAAAGAATTGATAATTCCCCTATCC